AGTGAGGGTAAACAACCTCTTGGAGCCAAAACCTGTGCTCATTAAAAGCATGACTTGTGTTTTCCTCTGTGGTAATCAGGGAATTGAGGCAGTTTTTACTAAAAAATATGATTTTTTTTTAAGAAGTGGCAGGTTGACATAGTGCTTAAGCTGTCTGTATGAAGGAAAATAATATGCATCCCTATCATGTCCATGTAAAAATACTACAAATGTACAGTGCATTATAAATGTAAAGTTTCTTGTACTTATTTCACATCCTTGTGGATCATATACTTAAGGGAAGAAACAGTTTTAGTATGACCAAAAGTAACAGTAATACAGTTTGTTGGGTTCATAATTACGTTTGCTTAAAATCCTTACCCAGAGGACCAAATCTTTCGGGGATTTAATGATAGAACTATCAAGGTCAAGAAATGTCACAAACTATAAAGCTACAGGGAGGTAGTTCAATTACCAATTTAGAGGTTTTCATTTTATTTAAATAAATACTTTACATTTCATGCTGGCCTGTAATGCACTACCAGGAGGAGGATAAGGAAGTTCTACTGTAGACAGTGAAAACGGTAGCAGCAGGTGTGTACACTGAGGTGTAGTATATAGACCCTGCAGTTAGTAAGGGAGGCCCTTACCGTTTTCCTCTAGAGGAAGCAAGTGTTCCTGCAAGAACAGTCAGCTTTGAGAAGCCAAAAATCGGGAGTGGGAAATGCAAAACATACTGGAATAATGCTAGGTAATTAGTGTAGAAAGCAAGGCTGTGAACAACCCTTGCCAACAATCCAAGCACAAGTGGCCAGTTCGTTGTAGATATGCCCTATAGGTAACTCAAAGCACAAGAAAGCTTGAGCCTCATATCTATGTCTCTGTTACTGCATTAAAACATCAGGTTAAATTCATTCTCAGTTCTGCACATAGCTTTGGGCCTTGCTTCAATGTTAATGGAAGTTAAAACTGAAGCCATCTTCAGAAATTTTACCCACTAAAGCTTCAAATGGAAAATAAGAAAGAATGTTAAGGGCATTCAGCTCTTGCAGTTGAAAGCTAGAGGGTACAACAGTGACAGAAGTCAAGCTTGCCCCATAGCAATGGAAGACAGAGAAAGCAGCAAAGTCTCTTTAGCTTGAGTAGCTGAGAGGCCACAGTTGTGATGAAAAGCTCACTCACAAAATAAGCAGGCCAGAAATTATGCGTTTGCTGGAGTGAGCAAGAGTCAGGTTCCTCATGGTCTCAGCACTGATTTGGAAGGATGGTTGAGGAAATGCCCTTACTGCTTGAGGAGGAAGCCAGTCTTCATGAGATCACTTGCTCTACTCAGCCCTGTGAGGCTCTGCTCGAATCTAAGGTAACCTAGGATCAGGGCAATGACTGGAAACATCTGGGCGTAGCTGAGTGTTCCCGTAAATCACTTATCTTGGTGTCCTCAGTGTGGAAGGGGATGAGATATGTTATGCACAGTCAGGGCTATCAACCATGTTTTGCCAGCTTTCGGATGGATGCTCTCTAAATGATAGCGTGCCTGTAGGCAGAGCTGAGAAGGGGTTTGACTTAAAATTTTATGGTAGTAAAGGTGACATAGAGAATGAAGGTCGTGTTGTTCTGCCTTTAGTTCTCTCCTGACCATCTGCAGGCCTAATGAACAGTTGTTGCTTTTCAGCATAAACATTTCTCTCAAGTTCCTGGAGCCTTGGAAGAAAATGCACATGATGTTTAAATGAGTAACAGATTTAGGCCCCAGCAGTGTGTTTGTCCACTTTGCCTATGGGCAGCTTGGTGGTTCATTTGATGTCATTCTCCTTTTCTCTTCTTTTTTTTTTGGTACTGGGAATCAAACTCAGGGCCTCATGCTTCCTTCTCCTTCTCTTACTCATGCTTCCCTGTAAGCTGTGAAAGCATTTGTGGGGTTGAACCCACGGTCTGTACACTGAGCTACATTGCCAGCTCTTTTTCATTTTTTATTTCAAGGCAGGGTTTTGTTAAGTTAACCACTCTGGTTTGGAACTTGAAGGCTTCCTGCCTCATCTTCCCAGTCCATTTTGCACAAGTGCAGTGCAGGTGTTTGGGTCAGAGGAGTTTTAAATCCTGGACAATTCTCAGCCAGTGGGAACTGAATACTCTATATCTTCCTTCAAAGAGCAATTTTGGAATACAGTAGTACCCATTTCACGAACACCTCTACTTGCAGGTAATTTCTGTTGCAAACAAAAGCTTTTAGCAAAATTTTGCTTCCATCTGCAAACTCTGCAGCAGGTAACAAACATGACCATGAACATCTCCCTCATGCAAACAGAGACAGAGCCAACTTCCTTAATATTGTACAAGGAATTAAGTTTGTAAACCGAGGAATCACTGTACATTGGATATACTTCTTCACTTAATCCACCAGAGGATTGATCTCTAGTTCCCCAGCATGGCCACCAACTCAGTACTTTGCTTCTTCACTTTTTTCCATTTTGTCTCTTTCATTTTTCCTTTCTCTCTCTTCCCTTCCTGTGGCTTCCTGCAATACATCCCAAATACTAAACTACGTGAATGAAACTCTGCTTTCCTTGTAGGGACCTAAGTAAAAACACGTCCCCATGGGAGCTTCAGACCTCATCACTTCTCCTCATTTCAATAAACCTTTACTAAAGCTCCATTAAAGCCAATATGTATGTTAGAAATACATAGGGCAACATGATTATTTTGTGTAGATGATAGTTTTTCATATGTACATTTATCCATTAGTATAATTTATATATGTTAATTTTTAATAATTTCATAATTGATTATAGGTTTCTGTGTACTTTATTTTGAAATGAATAATTCCCTATAGATTCCATTCTGGTGTTAAAAATCAGTTTCCAGGGGAAATTCAATCATTTTCAGATTACTGAATTAATTAAGATTTTTGGTAATCACATGATAGCAGCATGTACAAGCTTTGCTTACTGAAGTAGAGCCTTGTGAAATATGAACGGCAAGTGCACTGTTTCTTAGCCTGTGACTAGAGTGGACAGAAATCCCACCCCCAGTTCTTCATAAAATTCACCCTTGCCCCCCTGACTCAGTGTAGCTGGAGGCAGCATGCCATGTGCCCAAATGTAGGGCTTCCTTGCTCACTCACAGGGGCTGGCAGACCTGAGTAGGTGTCCCCCAAATAAAACAGACTTTCCTGTACTACATCTGACTCTGTGCCATCATCACTCATTTATCTTTGGCTTCTCCATGTGTTGTGGGAGTTAGATATTTGTTCATGCAGACATGTGTATGTATGGCCCAGGTGTCTCAATAACAACTCATATGAATGAAAATCAGATGAGTAGAGAGATCTCTCCTTGTCTGCTCAAAAAAGTGAAGATGTTTTACATGTTTGATGCAAATGATTTTAGAAGTATGCACTCATATATACATTCTGGAATAGATCCAATAACTTGTAAGACACTGACACATGGAGTGGTGATAATGCTCTGTAGGTTGTTGCACTACACACACTAAAGCAAGGGTCAGCAATCTAAGACTGATAGGTCAGACCTGCACAGGATCTGTGTGAGAAAATACTTTATAGGAGCACACTCATTTGCATGTTGTCTCTGGGTGCTCCGGATGAGTAGTTGCAATGCAACTCTAAGGTCTGAAATATTACTATTTGCTCTTTTAGGAAAAAATGTTTCCACAGAGTAGGGAGACGGTGAAGAGGCAGAGGGAAGAGGAGAATGCTCCCTGCTCCGCACAACCTGGCCTTCTCAGGCATTTCCTACCTCACCTACCGTTGTCCCACTCTGCACTTTATTCCTCTTTTTACTCCACAAGCTTTTCTCCTCATTTCCTTGCTGACCAAAATTGTGCCTTTAAAACTGTGCCAATTGTGTTCATTTCTGTAAGCAGCTATTGATTTTAGAAGAGGTTCTATGTATTAGTGAAGCATAAGAATATTGAACAAAGTATCAGCAGTGAATATCTCTGGATAGTACAATGAGAGGTTGTTCATTTTTATCTTTACTTCTCATCATTTTTTAAGTACTGTATTAGACAACAACTATGTGCTTACTATTCCCTATATGGGGGACCATGTGTTGAAAACATCAGACGTCTTTCTTTAGAAAAACACCCAGGACTTGCTGCTGAGAGAAACATGCTTGAAGTAGGCATGGTTTATGTAAATTTGCTTGTATTTGTGCCACACATGTTCTGGTTTTTCCATGTGCAAGGACACTGTAGCCACTGGTGAGATGTTCCAAGAAGAGAAGTGGGGAAGCCTTCCAAGATGAGGAGGAAAGAAGAGAAGGGCTGTGAACGTGTTGACCGAGGTGACTCTGGAGTAACTGGGACTTTCTGACCACCTCTCACTCTCATCTCTGCCCCGAACATCCTCACTCAAGCTACAGTCACAAGTCTCACACTTGCCTCTGCTGGCATTTGACAACGGCAGGAAGTTTTAGGAGCATGGACAGTGAAAAGAAGCTGAACAAGGACCTTGAGAAGAAGCTGCTAACACTTTTTTTGTTTGTTTGTTTCAGTTTTTTTCTTCTTTCCGGTAAAGCCCCCAGGGAAAACCCCAAGGAACTGTTTCAACAAGTCAGAATTGCCCTGTCACTCTCCTAGGGGCCTAGAGCAAATGTTCCTCCTGATACACCTTTAGCTATCCACTCCCATCTACCATCTTTAACTGTGTGATGTATAAAACAGCGTGATGCTTTCACTGAGCATGCTCAGAAGTGTGCCAGCCTCTGCATGGGATAACCACTCTCATGAATATGCATTAGTGTTCCCAGTAAATTAAACACTGCTTTGGAAAGTATCCCCAGTGCTCTACTTAATCGCTGTGAGTGGTAAACCTTTCTTCACTCTTTTATCTCCAGAGTGTGCTTATTAACCTTTTACTTACCATGAGTTGAATACAGTTTCTTGTTTTAGAATATGAATGTGAATTACTTTACTTTGAATTTCAATTGCAGTGCAAGAGTCCATTCGTGGAAGGAGTACCTTCCTTGCTATATTTGTTTGTTTGGGCATATATAGAGGAAGAACAGAGACGCGAAGGAGACCAAGCAGTGAATTAGAAGCAGCTGAGAAGTGTGCTGGGGTCTGTGGTGCTGGGAAACAGGTATGTCCACTGTTTTTGTTCCTGAACTTCATCTTGATCATGATGTGATTTCTGATTTCTGATTTCTGTCAGCTGGGGAAAGCACAGGGAGGGGAAGGGCAGCTTTCCTGTTGTGTCTACTGAGAGGTCAGTGGCTGAGCTTACCTCTGGAAAGCTCAGGTCCCCCCATTGGGCAGTGACAGCTGGGAGGTGACAGCCAGACACACAAAGCCCCAGATGCACTTCTCCCTGCTCAGCTCAGAGCTGCAGGAAGTGGAGAGGGGAGAGCCCTGGACAGGTGTCTGCCTGCCTGTCTCAGGCCCTGCAGTAGCTCTGGGATACACAGAACAAGGCCATCCTCGCCCAGCAGCTTTCAGACAATTTTCGTAAGGAGAGATTTTTTAAAAGACATTTCTCATAGGCCAGTTTCAGATAACTTCAATATAAGAGCTCTGTGAAAATCCATGTAGAAATAAATATAGTCCTAAATGAATTTAATTTGTTAAAAATAACTACATAAACAAAACTCTTTGTGTGAGATGTCCCCCCTTCTAATGGGGACAGCTGAGTCACCTGTGGTACTTGTTAATATATAGATTTTTTTAGACCTGGCAATCTGGGTTTTAATCATCTCTTAGGATGATTCTGATGTGTATCCAAGTTTGAAAATCATTCTTGAAGAGGATCTAACAGATGTACTTGTTTAATACAGATTTGAAAGTTCTGGAGTTCCTTCATAGCTAAGTAAAAAGGACGTTTATATGTTGCTTAAAGTAAGAGTCTAACTGTCCTACAGATTCCTTTAGTCCTCCCTTCAGAGATGGGGTCACACAATTTCAGGAATAGTAAGACAGGTACTGGGGTTTGTGCTTTGGATACATTTGTCTGAAGAAGCTGACCAGTGGAGTTGTACAGAAATGCCGAGTTGAACTTAACTACTGTGCTGCTCTAGTGTGAAATTTATGTGTAGTTTTCTTCTGAGTAATTTATAACATGGTTTTTTGAAATATATAATCTAATGGAATAATTACATATTGTAATGATTAGAATTAAATTTCCAACTCAACAAATTCTACCTTGTAATGCATTCCATGCTAAGATAAAAGTGTATATTATTCTTTTGTTCTTATGTTTACATATTCTGATCATGAACAATACACCTATACCATGGAAAACCATTTTAATATAATGGCAATCGCAAAGTTCCAGGATATCATGGAATAGTTATGCTCATAATATTTAATATTTTACATTAAACATCTACCTCAAGAAAATTACTGTGTGTAAATCCCATGTCTTTCACCCAGGTTCACCTAGCAGTGATGTTGGCTTTCTCTGTCTCTGTCTCAGTCTCTGTCTTTTTCTCCCTCTCGCTCTGTCTTGTTATGTCTCTGTTTCTCCTTCTCATATATATATGAGGAAGACTAAGAATGATGCTTATAACACATTGCTGAGACTGGCCTGGAACTCAAGGCTTAAGCACGACCGAAGTGGTCTTCCCATCTCTGCCTCAGGAGTAGCTGGAAATACAGACCTAAACCACCCTGCCTGGGTCTTCTTTTTAGGACGGGAGACTGCATTCATTAGATAAGTCTCATTCCTGTAGATCCTCAAAGCCCCACTTCTAGCTCCTACTCCCATCCTTTCTGTAAACCAGGAGATAACAAACCTCATAGGCCACCTGCTGGATACTAGAGTATATTTGAGTATATGGTGGTCATAAAAGCTGTTGCATGTTCCTGATCCAGAAGCTTACAGGATAACCAAGCCTGGTGAATGTTACGCTGAAGCCAAGTAGGTCATTGCAGCAGCATAGCACAGAAAAGTAGGTCACTATATTTTTCTGATTTTGTGTTTTATGTTTTGGAGGTGATAACATGTAAATAATGAAATGTATTGTTTTAGAAATTTTAAAATGTCTTTGGGTATATTGTTGTGGCTGCCCCCATGACCTGAATCAATTGAAAATGTTTACTTTTCATGGTGATTTTGACTTTGGGAAGGTGCCAGAAGTAGGGAATAAAGTGAACGAACACACGCTGTATTGGTTTCACGAGCTGGATTTTTTATTAGACAGCACTTGGCAGCAGCAGTCACTGTTTATTTTGATTGTACCTCATGAAGATATGGAAGAGACTTCCAGAACTGTTTAGAAAGTGGTGAGAATAATGGCATAAATGTGTTTAAAAGAGTTTGACTTATTTAAGCAGGATTAATAGCAATGTCTTTTACTATAATAAATGTTTGCTTTATTTTATTTATTTTGTTTTGTTTTGTTTGATATTTTTTTGAGACAGGGTCTTACTGTGTAGTTCAGCCTGGCCTTGAACTCTCTATGTAACCTAGGCTGGCCTCAAACTCACAGTGATTCTCCTGCCTCAGCCTCCCAAATGCTGGGACTACAGGCATGTGCCACCATACCTGGCTTGTAATAGATGTTTAAAATTTGAACATTCATTGTATATTTTGATCCCCCTGTATTCACATTGTGCAACCATAACTGCAAAATGCCTCTAGCACTTTTCATCATTGCATACAGAAACACTTAGCTTTTAAATTGCCCATTTCGTCCTCCTCCCAGCCATGGTAACTACTCTCCTAGTTTCCAACTGGGTGTATCTGTGGTAGGTTCCCCGTAATATTTGTCTTTCTGTCTGGATTCTCTCACTTTGCATTCTGCCTTTGAGGTTTATCTGTGTTGTGGCATACATTCAAAATTTCACTCCATTTTATAGCTGAGGATACATGCCCTATTGCATGTGTGTGATCTCTTAATCCATTCATCTGTAGTGGAACTTTGAATTCTTTCCACATTTGTCTCTTATGAATAATGTTGCCGTGATCATTGGTGTGCAAATGTCTGATCAAGTCCTTGATTTCCATGTGTGTGTGTGTGTGTGTGTGTATGTGTGTGAGTGCTTGCTGTATATGCCCTATAGTAGAATTGTTGGACCAAAGGCTAATTTGTTTAATTTTTTAGTAGCACTGCTATGTTCTTTTCCATAATAACAGTAAAACACTTTAAATTCCTAGGAGCAATGCACTAAGGATGCATTTCTCCATATCATACTACCTATTGTTTTCTGTTGTTATTTTGTTTGTGATACCAGCCATTCTAGAGGGTGTGATTTTGACTTGCAATTCTTGTATTTTAAAGCAAAATTAGAGTGGAGAAGAGGTGTGCCAAATTCTCAAGTAAACAAAATCAAGTAGGCCTTTAAACTAGTTTTTCTTTGCTTAAAGTGTGAACATAAGCAAAGCCTGGTTTATACTTTTTACATACAAGCTTATGTAAGACATACATAAAACAACCTGAGCTACTGAGAAACACTAGCATATGATGATGCAACTGAAACTTTTGAACAAGGTAACTCAAAGAAGGCCACTTTATAATTTAGCCTGTCAGACAATTTCTTCATGTTTGTTACTACATTTTCCCTATAGATATTTGCTTCTGATACTCTCACCAGAACACATATATTAACACAAGCATTTTATCTTTCAGTCTAATATTCTCCAATTCATCAATGGCAACTTCAAATAAAATTCTTTAAAAATACATTTTGTACCTGTGATTAGTGATTTTGAACTTGTTTTCATGTGTTATTGGCCTTTTGCTTCTCTTCTTTAAAGAAATGTGTATTCCTGTCCTTTGTCTACTTTTGTGTTGGGTTTTTGGTTATTCAAAAGTAGCCATAGTTCTTATATTCTGGATAGTAACTCCTTATTGGAGATATGATTTCCAAATATGATTCAATTATTCTATGGGTTTCCATTTTACCCTATTAATAGCATTACTTAGTTCATAGAAGCTTTTATGTTTGATGTAGTGTAGTTTATATTTATTTCCTGTGTTTAGGTATCACATGCAAGAAATCATTGCTATCTGACATCTATGTAAAGCAAAGAAAAGGTCAGAAGTGTTAAACCAAGTAAGATTCACCAGGGGCAGTTAAAGCCTGCGCTGGTCCCCTGGTTTAAGTGAGGGAATTGGAACAAACCAAGCAGCTACATTCTCCATCCCAAGATAATATAGGAACAGGCCTAGAAAAGACAGTGGTGAATTTGCAATCATTATGAATATGGTTTTGTCTGAATTGGATGTTTATGTGGCTCTAGTCACCATTTACCCTTTCAGAATTCCTGTAAGTTTATTTTAGCTTTTTAAAAAATGTCTTCATGGATTGAAGAAGTAGACAGAACTTGGTGGTCTGTCATTAATGTCTGTTGTCTAGGTTTTTAATCCTGTCTCTATGATTTATTCATTCAACCCTTGTATAATGCATTTATCTCATTTGTGAAGTGATTAAAATAAGGTCTACTTTGCAGGTACTTTAAAATATTAAATATGCATGGTTTACCATAGTGTAGGCCACACATTATGGTGATGATTACTTGAGTTCTATGATTATTATTGAAATAAAACTTTGGAGAAATTAATACCCTGTGTTGAATCCAAATCATGATTGACAATTTGGGAGAATGATGGAGGAAGCCTTCTGCATCTGTTAATGTTAGGCTCAGGTTCTCCCACAGACAGTCTAGAAGCCTTGTCTGTCCTGAGTTGATTCATGCTCTGATACTTCTGAGATAAAATTTTATAAACTTATTTCTAATAAGAGACTCTTCTAGGTTGGAAAATTGCTATGGCATCTGAACTAAAAATGGTGGCCCCAATTTGTCTGGTGGAAAACATCAGGGAAGAGATGAAAGTGAACAGGGAAGCCATAGAGATTCTTGAGAAGATTTCTCAGCCAGTGGTGGTGGTGGCCATTGTTGGACTGTATCGTACAGGGAAATCCTACTTGATGAACCGCCTGGCTGGACAGAACCATGGTGAGAGTTAGCATGGGGTTTCTGAAACCAGTAACATTTCAGCTTCTTCTTTTTCCCAGTCAGAACAAGGGAGAACTCAACTCTTCTCAGTAAAGCCAACTTCTCATTCTGATTCTCACCAGCAAATTTTTACCTTTCTCTCATTCACTTCCATATACTTTGTTGTCTTTGGAGAAAATCTCTCCTGCTAATGCTCAAAATTATCCCCCGTCACTGGCTTCTGTGTTTCTTTTCATCCATATTTTGCTTTTGATATGAAATATTCTCATCAATACCTAGAGATCTTTGAGTCTAAAAATCTAAAAATCCTTTTCATGCTTCACATTCTATTGTGACAATCAACTCTTGCTTTTGCTTTGCTTTTCTGTTTAATAGAAAAGCATTATTCCAATTTCCATGTCCTGCTTTTGTTCTTCTCTGGTCTCCGCTCAGTCTGCTCCTCTGTGACTCAGCGCAGTCCTTGTTTCACAATGCTGTTGTTGCAGTCGCCACTGCCCTCAATTTTGTCTGATCCATGGATGTCTTTCTCTTTGTCTTGAGCCCTTGGACATAATCATCATCATGTTTAACAGCCCCTGCTCTTTGGTAGGTAAAACTTTTGTGGAGAAAGTGAGGAAGTCCCACTTTGTCTGCTGAGGTATTTCTCCTCCAAGAAGCCTAAGGTCACAGTCTCCTTGCTGCTGTGGAAGTGCTGATGTCATCATTGTTTTTCTTATTTGCTTCAGGCTTCCCACTGCGCTCCACTGTTCAATCTAAAACCAAGGGCATCTGGATGTGGTGTTTGCCCCACCCCATCAAGCCGGACCTCACCCTGGTCCTTCTGGACACTGAGGGTCTGGGAGATATGGAAAAGGTAAGGTTGAGAGATTCAGGCACATACTTTTGACTCTGAATCGTCTTCTTGTCTTTTCCTAATTCTTTGCAATTTCACTGCTGCTGTCTGTTTATGAAATCAGAAACCGAACTATAATGAAAGAGGTAAACCTTATTCTGTTTAATCTCACTTCTAGATAAAGTCAGATATCATGTTATTTTAGGTAAAATATTCTCCTGTTGCTTGCCATTGGTATTAGTAATTTTATACAATGTTACTAAAACTTACTGAGGAGCTAAGTCCCAGTCTCATGGGTTTAGTAGTGTAGATATTAGTGAACTGCAGAAAGACTGCCAAACAGGGCCTTCAGTTGTACTTAGGAAACTACAGATCTTTTGCAACATGGTGAGCAGGAAAAGTACAGGTTGGAGAGAGAAAGGTGCTGCCCTGTGCAGTGGCTGGCCTCTGTCAATTCTCTGTAGAGAACTGTGGCTGGAGCTGCCCTTTGAATTACCTTTAGTTGGGAGCAGTGTGCTGGGTCTTTATCTTCGGTGTTGATGGGTCCCTAGAATTGGCCTCAGAAGCCTTCTCAGGAAGAGTGCTTACATGTGTCAGCTCTCGTCCATCAACACTGCCAAGAGTTGGGAAAAGAGTTTGACATCTTGGAAGGTGATGCAAACATACAGCACTCTTCACAATGTGCAGTGAGGCATATGGTGGCCGTGAGTGGAAGATGGTGAGGAGTCAGCCCGTCTTGGTGTCTGGTGAAGGGCTTCTGAGCCACATTCTGAGCTGCAAAATGAAGTGCGTATTTGAGGTTATGGTGAATCTCATTAATTACCCATAGAACTTTGTAGAAGTCTCTAAGAAGCCTCTGACTCTCCTGGTTTTATAAATTTTTTCCTTATGATAAATATTCTAAGGTGGATTTTTAGTGTTCGGCTTCCTATAAGTAGGTAAACCAAATGATTCATCTTTTTTTCTTCCTTTGAGACTTGAGAATAGAGTCTAGATTTATATATTACCATGTTGGGTCTGAAGAAGATTTAGAAATTCTGTTTATTCTACTGATATGTATTCAGCAAGTAAAATATACATTAGAGATGTACAACTTGACGCTTTGCTATTCATTATGAAATGAAATCCACAATCAAGTAGATAAATATATAAGCACCGGCCATAAGGATGTTTTAGTGTAAGCATGTGGGATGTAGCCTCTTAGCAAAATTCAAGTATGTGATGTATTCTTAACTCTAGTCAACGTGTGTTCTTTAGATCTTCAGAATTTACTTCATTGCATAACAGAAACATTGTTCCTTTTGATCATCAGTGTCCATTTATCCCACCTTCGGGCCACAAAAATACTCTACTGTCTTCTCTGCTGTTATCAATTCACTCTTTTTTTGACTATTTTAGATTCAACTATTCAGTGAGACAGTGCAGCATTTGCCTTTTGTATCTCGCTTATTTCACTGAGCTCAATGCTCTCAGGTTTGTACTTGTTGATGTAAATGGTAGGATTTCCTTCCTTTTTATGGTGCAGCAAATATTCTCCACGGTTGAGTAAATATTATCTTTAATTATTTATTCATTGATGGGCATTCACAGTATTTCTAACACTTGTCTATTAGGAATAGTGCTGCAGTAAAGATGGAAGTGCAGTCATCTTCCTCAAACACTAATTGCACTTTCTTTGTAACTATACATAGAATGAGTTTCTGGGATTATGTGGTTCTTCTATTTTTGAACTTTTAAGGAAACCCCATAGTATTTTTCCTAAAGGTCATACCAGTTGATATTCCAACCAATAGCTACAAGGATGATTTTTTTTCTCAATCCTCATTAATGCTTGTTATCTCCTGTCTTTTTTATAATAGCCAGGGTACTGTGTGTCATTTTATGTCTCCTTACAGTTTTAAGTGGCATTTCCTGATAATTATAGACTATGAACATCTTTTAATATATCTATTGGCCATATACAGGATTTGTATGTATATTCAAGTTCTTTGTTAGTTTTTAATTGTGTTATTTGATTGGTTTTGCTATGGAGTTACAGGAATTTCTGAATTAACTTCTTATCAATTACATATATTGCAAATATTTCTCTCCCATCCTGTAGTTGTCTTTCACACGGTTTGCTCTTTGCTACCAGGAGTCATTTTAGTGGGATCGTGTCCACCTGTCTAGTTTTCTTTTCATTGCTTGAGCAGTGGGTGTTATATAAAATATAATAACTGTTAAGCAAAAATGCATTAGTGTCCAGCCCAGTATTGAGAAGTTTTACCCATTGTTTTCTCCTCTTAGTTTTATTGGTTCAGATATTTTCTCTACTCTGATCAGACATTTTATACCTCTTGCCAAATATGACCATTTTGTTTTGCATATGGCTGATAGCAAATAAATAGGTTTCTAATAAAGAAATGTAACACTCATCACTCAATACCTTTCTGAGAACCTGACATAGCACTAGTGTTTCTTTAGGTTCAGTTATGTCATCTAACTGAGAGAAAACTTTATGAAGATTAAAATCCACTTGTAGTTTGAAGAAATTGTGAGCACGAGAAATATTACTGCTTTCATGTTATTTGCCTTCTTTGCATAGTGAGTACCTGAGCTGAAATCATAAGTGAAAGACTTTCATGACAGATGTCTGAATGAAATTCCAAAGAGCAGATTCTTAAAATTCTTGCTCTCTCCCCCTGTACTTTCTAGGGTGACCCTAGGAATGACTCCTGGATCTTCGCCCTGGCCCTGCTTCTGAGCAGCACCTTTGTCTACAACAGCGTGGGCACCATCAACTGCCAGGCCCTGGAGCAGCTGCAGTATCCTTCCAGGACCTGAGCCGCTGCATGTCAGTGGCTTTTGAGAAATTGAATATTGAGTCATTTTTTCTTACCCTCTCACTTGCTTGCTTTTGGATCAGAGGGGATCTAGGAAAGAAAAACATTGCTATGATAAGTTCTTGTTAAGGAAATATGGGGAATTTAAGTAGGAATTTCCTTTTCCTTAGCCAAGTCCTAGCTATGTGACAGAGCTCACAGAACTAATCAAAGCAAAGTCTTCCTCAAATTCTGATGGAGTACAAGATTCTACGGAGTTTGTGAGTTTTTTCCCAGACTTCATCTGGGCTGTACGGGATTTCACTCTCCAGCTGAAGCTGGGTGATCATTTCATCACAGCAGATCAGTATCTGGACAATGCCTTGAAGCTGATTCCAGGTAGCAGAGCAAAGTCTGGGTGTGGGATTTCTGTAGAGTGGATGTGCTGACATTAGGGATCTCTTTGTATTTGAAACTGGCTGGAGGTCTGTGGAAATGGTGACTGAGTTATAGATTGAAAGTTCTATGAAAAATAGTATATAATATAGAGAGAAATTATTCAAATTCATGATGTTCTTTACACATTTGTTCTCTAGAATTCAGACTAAAATGATTGATAAAACTGTCTAAAGCACAATTACTTTTTATCCTATTTTAGCATCTGCTTTTCTCTGTTTAGGAGAACAATTGCTCACAGAATTGTTAAACATGTTTTCACAATACAAAGCTTATCTTACTGTGTGTCTGCATTTCACACAGGTATTATTCTTCTAAAAGAGGATTATTACTTTCTAATAGCAATGTTTAAATTTCTGAAATTGAACATACAAAATAACAGTATGTCCTAACTAAACTGAAAAACTATTCTTTTCCTTTTTGCCTTTTGAGTATTTACACAATTACAATGGCACAAATTATATTTTATATCGATAATGCAGCTTTCAATTCTGGTATGTGTATTCATGCTATATCATGTCAAAATAAATTATATGAATGATGATATATATTATTTGTAAATTATTGACATTTATCTAAAGAGATCTTGTGAAAATGCCAGTTTGGATTTACTTAATAATGCTTTAGGTTTTGTAATATATCTTTTCTCAATTCATTCATTCAATAATTGGCAAAAACAAACTATCAGTTTAATTATAGTCCTTTATCTCAAGAACTTTATAGAATGATGGTGATTATTTTAAAAATATACTTTCATTGATCTTTGAAGCCTTTTGATAAAGATATCCAATACTATGTAAAATATTTTTAAAGTCCCCTCTTTGATGTTTACAACATGATATGGGATACATATAGATAGTACAATGGTCACTATCATGTGGCAAATAACACACCCATCATCTCACATAGCTATTTTTGTGATGAAACAGGTAAAACTGACTTATTTTAATAATCCTTAATACAATAGTTTCACTAACTCTAGCCTCATTTTTCTATCAGCTTTCTAGACTTACTCATCCTATACCTCTGCTGCTCAGTGTCCCTGACCTCCATCTTTTGCATTTCTTGCACACTCCTGGCAACTGCTGTTTTCTTTTCTATCACTACACAGTTGGACTTTTAAATGGAGTATTTTTGACATCAAAGTGATTTTCTTTAAATAGTAATGGTAGCATTCTTAATCTGCTATGATAATTCCACTATTGCCTTCTAGTCTGTCTTATCTTTCGTTCCTCAGCTCTATTTCAACAAGGGATTGAGTAGGCTAGAAACATACATTTGACCTTTTCTTCAATTAGTAAATGTCAAACATTATATAAACAGCTACTCCATACTTGCTGCGAAGTTCAGATCAGTGGACACCAGTCAAAATCTGTTTTCACTGGAGCAAGATGTCACTCTTAATACCATGCCAGTTATATTACTGGTACAAGTTTGATGTACAAATAATTATTCAACGTTTATGATAAACGCACTCTGTAGGTGTAGAACCGTGTAAGATATGGAACTTTGGGGGAAAGACTGTAATCTCCCAATGCCAAGACTATTCCATGATACTCTGTTTTTCCTTTTTTTAGGTGAGAATCCCAGTGTACAAGCATCTAATCATGCAAGGGAGAGCATTCGGAATTTCTTTCCAAGTAGAAAGTGCTTTGTCTTTGACAGACCAGCAAATGACAAAAATCTCCTCATCAATATTGAGAATGTCCCCGAAGGCCAACTGAATCCTAAATTCCTGGAACAAACAAAGAGTTTCTGTTCTTATGTCTTCACCTGTGAAAAGAGCAAGACTCTCAGAGAGGGAATTGTGGTCACTGGGAATCGTGAGTCTTCTTTACACATTTCTGTGCAGAAGCATGCACGTTTAATACATTATATAGTATGTTGCCATTATTTTTGTTCAATGGTATATATAGGTTTGATGTGTATATACTCATTCTCTATAAAAATCTACATAACTTTTTATTATCTTACTGGGGTCACAAATTCCTCTTAAAAACTGTACACTTTGTTGCAGGTATGTGTAAGTTCTATGTCTCAGAAAAAAATCCCCATTAATAATAATAAAAAAATTCCACATTAATAATAAAAATGACTAACTTTGTCTGAAAACAGATACATACAATTTTCTTAAGGATGTCCTACATGTAAATTTTTCTTTGCAAGGAGACTACAAAGCATGTATTAAAGTTTAAAGCAGTCCAAATATAAATATTACCTTCTAAGTCCATGAAAAGCCACTAGAAGCCTCAGAATTAGAAGCAAATATAGTGTGAGGTACCTTGCCTTATTTGTACTTATGTAATCTAATTTTCCTCAAATTTTAAAGGGGAATTATATTTTCTAGGTATACTTTAGAATATTAGATGAAGCTAGATACTGATACTAAGGTTTTGTTTAACTGTGACCTGGAGAACCACATAAATTTAAGTGTTAGTAGAAGGGTGACGGTAATGAAAAAAGGAGGTAGATCATGTAATTATGCTGTGCATGTGTGTGTGTCTGTATATGTGTGTGTGCATGTGTGTGTGTGTGTGTAAGAGAGAGAAAGAAAAAAAGAGAGCTTAGAAGTATAGTCTCAGAATCTTAGATTCCTTTTAATTATAACTTTCCTATTTATCCCCTAAAATTCTTGGCTCCTTCAGGGCTTGGGGCTCTGGTGGAGACCTATGTGAAAGCCATCAACAGCGGGGAAGGGCCTTGCTTGGAGAACGCGGTGTCCACTCTGGCCCAGTGTGAGAACACAATGGCCTTGCAGAAGGCAGCCGACCACTACAGTGAGCAGATGGTCCAGAGAATGCAGCTCCCTACAGACACGCTCCAGGTGCTGCTGGATGTGCACGCGGCCTGTGAGAAGGAGGCCATCTCGGTCTTTATGGAACGCTCCTTCAGGGATGAAGATGGGAAATTCCAGAAGCAGCTGGTGGTACTGAGTCTTATTTTGCTTCTGTTTCTGTTATCGCATGTTTGCTGTACACAGTGATAACATTCCCTGTGGTCTTTGTTCCTGTGTTTTATTCAGTACTTTCCTTAAACTTTCCATTGAAGAATGAAGCCCTGAGTGCATTAAATTCGTGACTCATTTCTCACTCAAGGACAAAGCATTTTGGATTCTCACAGGGAATGGAGTCTTTAAGACTACATATTCTTCCTCCAACCTCAAATTTTAGACATATTTATGCAGCAGTTTCTCTGGGTGACTGGATGTCCTCCTCAATTCTTATGGTGGATCCAATAAGTATTTCTTAAGACTGCACACCTATCCAGAATATTCTCAAATCATCCCTGAGCTGTTCACTTCTCAGGGAAAACTTGTCCATTCCTGGCAGCTACATTTCTCTTACCAGAACCTAATTCTACACTGCTGTTCATCCCATATTGCTCTTTGTTGTATACTGTATCCTTCAAGGTACAACCATGGACACAATACCATAGAAGGGAGACAAGGGAAGTGAAACACTGACAGTGAGTGTGAACACTGTATGTCATACATATGAACTGAAAACAATAATAGTGAGAATGAGGAAATGGGATCTATAGCTGGAGAGAGGGAGGTGGGTAGGCAGGGAAAGGGGAGTAAAAAGATCCAAGCTATATTACGTACCTGTACTTACTCTCTAAGAGGAATGTAAACTTCAGGTACTGGAAACATGTGCTAACAAATTAGAACTTAGAAAGAAACCATGGAGATTGTAGAACAATCCCTTCATTTCATAGGTGAGGATCCTGAGGCCCAGGAAGGATTAAAAGTTTCTTATAAACTTGCAGAGAGTTTTAGGGGGTTTGAATACGTCAAGTTTATCAATCCTCATTCATTCCACATCTTTCTTAAACAGAATATTTTCTTATGAGAAAGAGGTTGATGCTGCTACAAGATTCTCTGGAACTTTATTTCCTCTCTGAGATATCCTTCTGGTGACATCTCTGTACATATGTCTTACAGAAAACAATACAGAATAAGAAGGAGGATTTTTTGCTGAAGAATGAGGAAGAATCTGACCGACACTGCCAGAAAGAACTGAATTTGCTTTCAAAAGAGTTAATGGAAAGCATTTCAGCAGGCAGTTTCTGTGTTCCTGGAGGGCACCAGCTGTACATGGAAATGAGGAAAAAGATTGAACAGGACTATTGCAAAGTGCCTAGGAAGGGAGTCAAGGTGAGGAATAAGTTTATCAAAAATTAACTTAAATATCCCTAAGTTATTGCAGGCTGATCAGGCCTGCAATCTCCTAAGCCAGTGGATGGTGAAGGCTTAAATAAATGAGACAATGGAAATGATTTCAGGGCTCCACGATAGTCTAACTCTCTTACAGCTTCAATATTCTCTGACTTAGTCAAAGACTTCTCTGGGAAGCCCATATTTATTTGGTTTTCAAACAAAGGAGGAGGATACTCAAGAAAAATGCGGGGATCTCACAGGACCTTGGGAGAATTTTCCCAAGTAGTAAATTATGTCCATCAGGAGAACTACCTTATCTTTAGGTTGGTATTTATTATAGGAGTGTGGAGACTACAGCTACAGTCTCCTTATAGTTAATTGAGGTTGGAGGCCAAAGTCCTCAGCTGCTGCCTTATCTTGTCAGACAAGGTGCCTAAGCTTCAGACAACTCACCAGTAAACATGGAAAGCCAATTGGTTAATATTAAATCCTGCTCAGAGCCACTTTGTAATGGTCCCCAACATAAGTTAACCTGGGAAAGTCCAGAGA